TTTGTCTTTGTTAATTGTGGTTACGCGTATATTTAGAGCGGCCCCCAAAATTGCAAATGCGTTTTTCCACAAGACTGTCCATATTAGTTGTTGAAATAAATAAATACGTGAAAAAAAATAGATCGGGCAATATTTAGAGGTCGCTACCCATTTACACTATCATTCCACATACAAGAAATGTGTATATATACATATATGTTCGTTAATTCTTGATATTTCACTTCAGAATCATAGTAATTTACATTTATGATACACATGATATTAAACCTTCGCTGCTGCACGACAAAATCCATTATTACAAGAACCCACATTACGTGAACAGTGACACTTACTTTAATGTTCATTGGAAAAAAAAACGAAAAGTCGTTCAGCATTAGTCAATATCCATTTCTGTTCGCACAGCGACCTCTTGGTATGACGTCGCAGGTTGATGCTTCTCACTGTCAGACAACGACGATCAAGCTTGACTGCAGTCCACAGCGGAAGTTGATAAGACAAGCTTGTCAAACTGCTTGGCACAGCATACTCCTGCACTGGAACACTGCCCAGGATAATCCTATCAAGCTTGCAGGTTTCCTTCAGTGTTTACTTGTTAAACCTGGCCATGCTCCAGCTCTAGGGATTCTTTTATTCTCAGGACGTTCTTTCACGAGATGTCAGATAGATTTAAAAAAGGTCACTTGTGAGCAGCTCTTCCACTCAGCAAGCCTGCTGTGTCCATCAATTTTTCTTCCGAGTACGGTACTCGTTGAAGCGTTTCTGGAGATAACACAACAGAATGTATCTTCTGGATTTAACCCGTCCTTGTAAATAGTATTTCACCGTGCCTAAGGTAGCGGAATGGGTCATTTCACAAGCTTAAAACAAGTCATTACTGACTATGCACTCATAGACTGTGCTATGTGGATTGCCTTTGTCTCTTCTTGCCTAAAAAAAATCGAGAAACTTCGCGAAAACAGGTGAGAAATAACTTCAAAATTTTGGATGACGGGCTACTGGGATGGAATCTGTGCTGTCTTCCAGACAGCCTGATGGGCTGTCTCGGCTCTCACAGTGATGGTCAGTCCATTCTCCTGATGGTGATACAGCTGTGGTAACTTCTTTCCAGTGCCTGGCTATTTAGATTTTTTACATCTTAATTTATTAATATAATTCTCAGGTGAGAAGCGCTAAACCTGTAGAGGTTATATAGCTCCTGGGGAATGGCAGGCAATCAAGTATGATCCAAGGAAGGAAAGGATATGCTTAATTCCTTGGATCAAGAGCCCCTTGAGAGGTTTACATCTGAAAATATAAAATAAATCCTCCAGCAATTCTGACTAACACTCGCACACAACACAAGTGTTTCAAAATACATGTGTCACTAGGACATATCTGGCAACGTTTCGGTCCTGAGACCATGAGAATAGATCCAGGTCCAGGCGCCGAAACGTTTTCAAAGAAATGTGTTCTAGTGTTTGTGCCGGTGATGGACGTACATGTTTGGGACCCTGAAGCTGCAACTATTATGGGATCGTCTTCACAACCAGCAATGGCTACCCTACATGATACTTTAATAACCATTTATTTTAATGGTTATATTATATTGAATTACATTATATTATTATTATCATTTAAAAAAAAGAACTCATACAGCAGACCCAGAATTTTTAAGCTTAAGCTTTCTTAGTTTTATAGTAGATGTGACCCTGGTTACTTTACATGTCATTTTTAAAACGCTTGTCGGTATTAATTACCAAGATTTATAACGTTAAATAATCAACAGTTAGATGAGATAAAAATCTGACCAGCTCACTGTTTCTAATTTCTTCGGCTCTGAATAAATAAACAGAAGACAAATATTTTCTAAGCACTGTTGGTTTTAGTCCATACACTGTTTACTCAAGGCCAAGTGCAAACAATGAACAAACGAACTTACAAAATGGGTGAATTCTTTGTTTATTCTGAATACTGAAGCTGCAGTGCTGAGATTTTATATGTACGATACAAGCTATCTGTTATGGTGCTTAATGCTACTGACTACACAATAAACAAACCTCGTCTCCCAACAGTAGTCTGGTACACGAAATTGGCCAGACAATGAGCGCTCCGAGACCACAAGAAGTCATCAGATCATTATCATACAGTTCAGGTACGATGGATGACATCCAGAGTAAAATTCGTGAAGTCCACAGAAAGATATGTGAATCTCTCGATGCTGGTTACTTACTTGAACGAAAAAAACTCGGAGATTATAGTATGTACATTATCCTGTGTAGGCGAGCAGGAACTATAATCAGAACTCGTATTCACATTAATATGATTCCAAACTATATTTTAAAATGCGTCTGCACTAGTAACTAAAAAACAATTTAAATGAAACTGCATTGTGCCGCAAGCCTGTTACCTAGTGAATGTATTATCTGCATTCTGCATAAAACTAGTTTATGTGTGTTATACATCAAATAGAAGCTATAGACAAAAAATATATTTTAAACCTCACACTCACAGGTTCACATGTCATCGAGTGTTATTGAAATTAATCACATAACTTCTCCCACCATAAAAGTGTCAAATGGTAGGTGCCTTAAGCATGTTGTCCTCTGACTCGTGTATATTAGGTACAAATTGATTTTGAAGTGGAAAATGGACAGTCTTGTGGAGTGGGACATTATACATATACACATGTGCTACTCTAAGGTATGTATTTATGTATGCATGTGTATATGTATCACAACAATTGCAAACAAGCGATCAACAAAGCACAGCTACCACTAGGGACAGGGGGGTGAATGATGTTGCTCTAGGCTTTCCGCTCTGCGACTGCAAATGCTTCCTCCAGAGCAGCGCAATGAAAAGACTGGAATTCAGGACTGTCTCATGGCACACCTGCTTGAACTCTTCTGAATTCCATCCATTCCTCTCACTGCAATGTTTCTTAGGCAGAGTTTACAACTGCAGTGCTTAATGCCCAGAACAACATCATTCGTCCCCCTAATGGCCGCTGCGCAATGTATGTAGTATAATAATATATATATATATATATATATATATATATATATATATATATATATATATATATATATATATATATTATATATATATATATATATATATATATATATATATATATATAAAATTAACACTATCAGTTGCAACTTTTTCATAGATTACAGAGCATATAACAAACGAAAGGGCTAGTAAATTATTTCCCCCAGTTCGATCCCAGGTAATTCATGAAAATGTTTCAACAGTTTATCGCTTACATTAACAGCAATTGGGATAAAGAGCACTCTGGCTGTGCTGTGGGGACGGGAGAATATCTCTTTCTAAGGATTTGCAGTTGAGGGTCGCCGCGGGTGCTGACCACTACTAGCACTTCCCATTCCAGTATGTGGTGGGTTTGATCCCTTATTGAAGTTCCAATATATGTATATGTGTATACATATATAATTCTTCATTACTAGGAAATGAGAATCTAATGAACGCAGTAAGACTGTTGATCTTTGAAGGGGCCCCGAATTTACTTATGCTGAGGCAGTTGTCCAGAGTTATTACAAAATACATTACATATATGATATCTCCTACAATATTTCTACATTTATTCATCAAGCCTCTGTTAGAACTCAGTTTTCCATTACAACATTACAACTCAATTTCAATAAAATCTCTAACGTTTCATGCTGTAATATCTTCTGTTTTGATTCTGATTCTATTTTTTTCCTGTTCTTTCTTTAATATACAGCTAAACTCTCTTAGTGTTAGTCTTCTTTCCACGAAGAGTAAATCAAGATACCGTGCTGGAACAATTCGACTAACCCAAAATTCAGACAAAAAACTCTGAACAACGTTTCGGTCTGTGGTGAAGGTGCGAGACTTTATAAAGGTTTACCACAGACCGAAACATTATCATTTCTTGCAAATCTTTTTCTTTTCTTTACTACTTTACGGCTGTCTTGTTTTTTCTTAAGAAACTCCATCTTTTTACTTCTGTCGCCGCTTGTTTCTGTTTCAGATCCTTTTTACCAGAACAAAGATTTAATTTTTATACTATAGTCCCACCATCACACTGACCCCACCATCCCCCCTGTAGTCCCACCATCACACTGACCCCACCATCCCCACCTGTAGTCCCACCATCACACTGACCCCACCATCCCCACCTGTAGTCCCACCATCACACTGACCCCACCATCCCCACCTGTAGTCCCACCATCACACTGACCCCACCATCCCCACCTGTAGTCCCACCATCACACTGATCCCCACCATCCCCACCTATAGTCCCACCATCACACTGACCCCCACCATCCCCAACTGTAGTCCCACCATCACACTGACCCCACCATCCCCACCTGTAGTTCCACCATCACACTGACCCCCACCACCCCCACCTGTTGTCCCACCATCACACTGACCCCACAATCCCCACCTGCAGTCCCACCATCACATTGACCCCACCATCCCCACCTGTAGTCCACACTGACCCCCACCATCCCCACCTGTAGTCCCACCATCACACTGACCCCATCATCCCCACCTGTAGCCTCACCATCACACTGACCCCCACATCCCCACCTGTAGCCCCACCATAACACTGACCCCACCATCCCCACCTGCAGCCCCACCATCACACTGACCCCACCATCCCCACCTGTAGCCTCACCATCACACTGACCCCCACAATCCCCACCTGTAGCCCCACCATCACACTGACCCCCAAAATCCCCAACTGTAGCCCCACCATCACACTGACCCCCACAATCCCCACTTGTAGTCCCACCATCACACTGACCCCCCACAATCCCCACCTGTAGCCCCACCATCACACTGACCCCACCATCCCCACCTGTAGCCCCACCATCACACTGACCCCACCATCCCCACCTGTAGTCCCACCATCACACTGACCCCCCCCAATCCCCACCTGTAGCCCCACCATCACACTGACCCCCAAAATCCCCAACTGTAGCCCCACCATCACACTGACCCCACCATCCCCACCTGTAGCCCCACCATCACACTGACCCCACCATCCCCACCTGTAGCCCCACCATCACACTGACCCCACCATCTCTCCACTACAAAAACGTCTAAAAATATATATCTTCCATCTTCTCTCGCCAAATCCTTGCCGCCACAGCTCCTACCTCCATTATCATTATCTCCTAACAATATCATCCGAGTCGTGTTGTCTTACATATCACCTTTCTTGAGGTCATCTGAGTCCACACTCATCTACTACCACATCACATTTCTTTCTGTCACTGGATATGTGTAGTAGTACCTCTGTCTTCATCCATTGTACCGAAGGCTCCTTTTGGGTACATCAGCTAGGCTACATCACTCCCCCTCCACTCGCCTTGTTTGCTCTTCTCTTGTTCTCTCTCTCTCCTTTCTTGTTCGCTTTCTGTTCATTTTGCAATCTGTAAATAAGGCAACAGGTAGTTAATAGTTTAGTAGAAGAAAAGTTACAGATCTGTGGCTGGGGAAAAAAGTCACAAAATGGAGCTAGTTTGAAGTGGAAACTTAAAATAATGTTTGGGGTCATGATGGACTCTTCATAGGTCGTAAGTAACTTAGTAATTGTCCAGGATGAACCAACATATTGACAGTTTCTCTCTCAACTATGTGTTATTTGTAAATTATCTGTCAGCAAAATTTCGGTCTGCCAAAAAAAAAAAAAATGATCTTCCAGTGCAGTTAATTAAGAATTTCAGTGTCTCGATATCTTGGCTACGTGTATATATATATATATATATATATTATATATATATATATATATATATATATATATATATATATATATATATATATATATATATATATATATATATAGTTTACTGTGCATAACAATTTGAGTTGGTTTAGTAAATACATTGCATCAGAATATTATATATAATAACTTCAATGGAAATCAACTAAACTTCTAGTATATAAAACAACAAATTATACAAATAATATCAACTAAGTATCCAGTACACGTAAACAACACGTAAACGACACGTAAACAACACGTAAACAACACGTAAACAACACGTAAACAACTGGTATTTAATGATAAAATCAGTTTTGTGAGAACTTAAACTTCACAATTCATTTGCTTCGATTTCAGTGTATCATAATATTCTACACTTTCCGTATTCAATATTTTAGACCCGTACGAACAAGACCTAACCTAACTAACCTAACCTAACTAACCTAACCTAACTTAACCTAACCTAACCTAACCTAACCTAACCTAACCTAACCTAACCTAACCTAACTAACCTAACCTAACCTAACCTAACCTAACCTAACCTAACTAACCTAACCTAACTAACCTAACCTAACTTAACCTAACCTAACCTAACCTAACCTAACCTAACCTAACCTAACCTAACCTAACTAACCTAACCTAACCTAACCTAACCTAACCTAACCTAACCCTAAACTAACCTAACCTAACCTAACCTAACTAACCTAAACTAACCTAACCTAACCTAACCTAACCTAACCTAACCTAACTAACCTAAACTAACCTAACCTAACCTAACCTAACCTAACCTAACCTAACTAACCTAAACTAACCTAACCTAACCTAACCTAACCTAACCCTAAACTAACCTAACCTAACCTAACCTAACTAACCTAAACTAACCTAACCTAACCTAACCTAACCTAACCTAACCTAACTAACCTAAACTAACCTAACCTAACCTAACCTAACCTAACCTAACCTAACCTAACCTAACTTAACCTAACCTAACCTAACTTAACCTAACTTATTCTAAATTTATTTAACCTAACCTAGCCTAAATATTTTTTACACATCACTTTTTCTAGGCTAAGAGCAGTTAATTTACCTTTTCTCACTTTAAAGCCCAGGAGCTATGACACGACCCCTGCAACCACAACTAGGTGAGTACATATTTAAGTTATATTACCACACCCCTGTGATGCTACCCACAACAGTACACTAACACCCATGTATCTACTTACTGATAGGTGAACAGGGCAGCAGGTGTAAGGAAACGTGCCCAACGTGTCCACCTGTGCCGGGGATCGCACCACGGACACTTACTATGTGAGATGTGTGTTATCAACCTAGCTACGGGATAACTATAACCAATCTTAGCCGAAACTTAATCTTATCTGATTTGACCTAACCTAGCCTAATTAGTCAAACCAGATCTAATCTAATCTAACCTAACCTAATTTAAGAAGCAAGATTACCAGTCATATGGACTCGTAGAAGTTGCACAACGCAGGTCAATATACGTTCAGAACTGGTCGCTTCTCCCCTTTTGCAACTGCTGGACCATTTCGACACGGTTTTGGATGCTTTAAAAAGACAGACAAAATGCAGATGTAAATATGTACTGTTTGCACTAGGTTTTGACAAGTGTGACCATGGTGTAACTGCACACAAAATGTGTGCAAAAGGAATAACTGCAATGGTGGGCAGATGGATTTTTAACTTCCTTACGAACAGAACCCAACGTTTAATAGTAAATGGAGTGGAATCAGGGGCTGTTACAGTGAAAATTTCTGTCTCCACAAGGCACGGTACTCGTCCCGCTTTTCTTTCTCATTCTCATTTATGACATAGACAACGACATCAATTGTAACACTGTATCATCCTTTGCAGACGATACTAGAATCTGTATGAGAGTGTTATCCATATAAGACACAACGAGCCTCCAAGATGATATAAACTAAGTCTTCTAGTGGACCGCTGACAACAATATGATGTTCTATGAGGATAAATTTCAGTTATTAAGCCATGGAAGGATGAAGGAGATAAAAACAAGAGGACAGTACAAGACAAATTAAAACCTAGGAGTAATAATGTCAGAATATCTCATGTACAAGGAGCACAACAACGTTATACTGCAACCGCAAGAAAAATGATAAGTTGGATAACTAGAACGTTCAAAATAAGTGATGCCACGACAATGATGACTCTTTAGGTCATTCGTTCTGTCTAGGCCCCCCTCAAGACAGGCGAAATTGTTGAGCTGGAAAATGTACAAAAAACTTTCATAGCTCATATAAACTCATCCAAGCACCTAAATTACTGGGAGTGCTTGAAGTCCCTAGAACTGTACTTCTTAGAACTTAGGCGAGAAAGACATATCATAACTTACATCTGGAAGATACTGGAGGGAACGGTACCAAACCTGCACACCGAAATTACTACGAATGAACACAAGAGGCTTGGCAGACAGTGCAGGATGCCTCCCTCCAATGAAAAACATGGGGGCGATGAGTACACTATGAGAGAACCACAACCAGTGTTCAGGGACCACGACTCTTCAACGCCCTCCCTTCATGCATAAAGAGGATCCCCAACAAACCCCAAACTGTATTCAAGAGGGAACTCCCCAGATTCTTCAAAACAGTTCTTGATTAACTGGGTTGTGGTGCCTACTCTGAACTGTGGGTGGCGGGCACTAACAGTTTGATCAATCAGGCCAGCAACCAGGAGGCCGGGTCTCGGACCGGCAGTTGGGGCGGTGACCACCGGAAGCGACTCCAAGTAAAGTATAACCTCCTAAGACCCTGATTGTTTATATAACCCATTCCTCCCTCCCCTCCCCCTCAATATAATATTCTTACTTCTCCTCCTCCTCTTCCTCCTCCTCTTTCGTTTCTTCATTTTCTCCGAGATGAGGGCCCTGTTGATCTTGGCCTTTCTGGTGCTCCCGTCAACGTCACTTGCACCTCCACTTTCAACATTGTTGGTGTTACCTTCCAGCTTCAGCTCAGCTAAGGTGGCAGCACCAGCAGTCTCGGCTACTCCTTGGAAGATCCTCTGTGCCACTATATGGTGCCGGAGATCCTTCTCATGTAGGTCCTGACGGCGCCGCTGCTTGCTCTTCTTCGGCTTGAAATGTTGTTTGTTGCAGTCGTCCACTTCAGTGTGATCTGCGGAGGAAGGAAGTTCTTTGTTAATATAGCGAGAGGCTAAACTTACAGCGGGTCTTATACAGCGCCTGAGTGAATGAGAGGTAATGTGAACCAAGGAAGAGTAGGGTAGCTGTTGTTATTGCTGCTGCTGCTACAGCTGCTCATGTTGCTGCTTGAATCAAGAGCCCGGCGTCACCATCACATGGAGGGAAGCGATAAGTGGTCACACACACACACACACACACACACACACACACACACACACACACACAGAGCTAAGAGGTATGTCATACGAGGAGAGGTTAAGGGAAATCAACCTGACGACACTGGAGGACAGGAGAGATAGGGGGGACGTGATAACGACATACAAAATACTGAGAGGAATTGACAAGGTGGACAAAGGCAGGATGTTCCAGAGATTGGACACAGTAACAAGGGGACACAGTTGGAAGCTGAAGACACAGATGAATCACAGGGATGTTAGGAAGTATTTCGTCAGCCACAGAGTAGTCAGTAAGTGGAATAGTTTGGGAAGCGATGTAGTGGAGGCAGGATCCATACATAGCTTTAAGCAGAGGTATGATAAAGATCACGGCTCAGGGAGAGTGACCTAGTAGCGATCAGTGAAGAGGCGGGGCCAGGAGCTCGGACTCGACCCCCGCAACCTCAACTAGGTGAGTACAACTAGGTGAGTACACAGTAGCAATCAGCGAAGAGGCGGGGCCAGGAGCTGTGACTCGACCCCTGCAACCACAAATTGGTGAGTAAAAATAGGTGAGTACACACACACACACACACACATACACACACACACAACCACACACACACACACACACACACACACACACACACACACACACACACACACACACACACACACACACACACACACACACCTGGTCAAGCACATCAAGAAATTAAGAGAAAGTGCAAAGGTTTGCAATGATACTAGTCCCGGAGCTAAGGGACATATCTTACGAGGAGAGATTAAAAAATCGATCTGACGACACTGGAAGACAGGAGAGGGGGGACATGATAACAACATATAAAATACTGAGATGAATTGACAAGGTGGACAGAGACACGATGTTCCAGAGATGGAACACAGCAACAAGGGGTCACAATTAAATGTTGAAGACTCAGACGACTCTCGGGGATGTTAGGAAGCATTTCTTCAGCCACAGAGTTGTCAAGAAGTGGAATAGTCTGGAGAGTGGTGGATCCATAAGAAGAGGTACGATAAGGCTCAGAGAGCGGGGAGAGAGTGGGCCTAGTGGCGACAAGTGAAGAGGCGGGGCCAGGAGCTATGACTTCACCCCTGCAACCACAATTAGGTGAATACATACACACACACATTGACGGGAGACATTGAATAAAAATAATGACATTTTATTAAAAATTCGTAAGTGAATTGTCTCTGAATTCATGAGTTTTTTTTTTTTGTATTAAGGTTGATAACAGCAGGGTGTGGCAAGACTTCCTCTGGCCAGGTTGATAACAGCAGGGTGTGGCAAGACTTCCTCTGGCCAGGTTGATAACAGCAGTGTGTGGCAAGACTTCCTCTGGCCAGGTTGATAACAGCAGTGTGTGGCAAGACTTCCTCTGGCCAGGTTGATAACAGCAGTGTGTGGCAAGACTTCCTCTGGCCAGGTTGATAACAGCAGTGTGTGGCAAGACTTCCTCTGGCCAGGTTGATAACAGCAGTGTGTGGCAAGACTTCCTCTGGCCAGGTTGATAAACAGCAGTGTGTGGCAAGACTTCCTCTGGCCAGGTTGATAACAGCAGTGTGTGGCAAGACTTCCTCTGGCCAGGTTGATAACACAGTGTGTGGCAAGACTTCCTCTGGCCAGGTTGATAACAGCAGTGTGTGGCAAGACTTCCTCTGGCCAGGTTGATAACAGCAGTGTGTGGCAAGACTTCCTCTGGCCAGGTTGATAACAGCAGTGTGTGGCAAGACTTCCTCTGGCCAGGTTGATAACAGCAGTGTGTGGCAAGACTTCCTCTGGCCAGGTTGATAACAGCAGTGTGTGGCAAGACTTCCTCTGGCCAGATTGATAACAGCAGTGTGTGGCAAGACTTCCTCTGGCCAGGTTGATAACAGCAGTGTGTGGCAAGACTTCCTCTGGCCAGGTTGATAACAGCAGTGTGTGGCAAGACTTCCTCTGGCCAGGTTGATAACAGCAGTGTGTGGCAAGACTTCCTCTGGCCAGGTTGATAACAGCAGGGTGTGGCAAGACTTCCTCTGGCCAGGTTGATAACAGCAGTGTGTGGCAAGACTTCCTCTGGCCAGGTTGATAACAGCAGTGTGTGGCAAGACTTCCTCTGGCCAGGTTGATAACAGCAGTGTGTGGCAAGACTTCCTCTGGCCAGGTTGATAACAGCAGTGTGTGGCAAGACTTCCTCTGGCCAGGTTGATAACAGCAGGGTGTGGCAAGACTTCCTCTGGCCAGGTTGATAACAGCAGGGTGTGGTAAGACTTCCTCTGGCCAGGTTGATAACAGCAGTGTGTGGCAAGACTTCCTCTGGCCAGGTTGATAACAGCAGTGTGTGGCAAGACTTCCTCTGGCCAGGTTGATAACAGCAGTGTGTGGCAAGACTTCCTCTGGCCAGCTTGATAACAGCAGTGTGTGGCAAGACTTCCTCTGGCCAGGTTGATAACAGCAGTGTTGTGGCAAGACTTCCTCTGGCCAGGTTGATAACAGCAGGGTGTGGCAAGACTTCCTCTGGCCAGGTTGATAACAGCAGTGTGTGGCAAGACTTCCTCTGGCCAGGTTGATAACAGCAGTGTGTGGCAAGACTACCTCTGGCCAGCTTGATAACAGCTGTGTGTGGCAAGACTTCCTCTGGCAAGGTTGAAAACAGCAGGTGTGGCAAGACTTCCTCTGGCCAGGTTGATAACAGCAGTGTGTGGCAAGACTTCCTCTGGCCAGCTTGATAACAGCAGTGTGTGGCAAGACTTCCTCTGGCCAGGTTGATAACAGCAGTGTTTTGGCAAGACTTCCTCTGGCCAGGTTGATAACAGCAGGGTGTGGCAAGACTTCCTCTGGCCAGGTTGATAACAGCAGTGTGTGGCAAGACTTCCTCTGGCCAGCTTGATAACAGCAGTGTGTGGCAGACTTCCTCTGGCCAGGTTGATAACAGCAGTGTGTGACAAGACTTCCTCTGGCCAGGTTGATAACAACAATGTGGGGCAAGACTTCCTCTGGCCAACTTGATAACAGCAGTGTGTGGCAAGACTTCCTCTGGCCAGGTTGATAACAGCAGTGTGTGGCAAGACTTCCTCTGGCCAGGTTGATAACAGCAGTGTGTGGCAAGACTTCCTCTGGCCAGGTTGATAATAGCAGTGTGTGGCAAGACTTCCTCTGGCCATGTTGATAATAGCAGTGTGTGGCAAGACTTCCTCTGGCCAGGTTGATAACAGCAGGGTGTGGCAAGACTTCCTCTGGCCAGGTTGATAATAGCAGTGTGTGGCAAGACTTCCTCTGGCCAGGTTGATAACAGCAGGGTGTGGCAAGACTTCCTCTGGCCAGGTTGATAACAGCAGGGTTTGGCAAGACTTCCTCTATCCAGGTTGATAACAGCAGTGTTTTGGCAAGACTTCCTCTGGCCAGGTTGATAATAGCAGTGTGTGGCAAGACTTTCTCTGGCCAGGTTGATAACAGCAGTGTGTGTGGCAAGACTTCCTCTGGCCAGGTTGATAACAGCAGGGTGTGGCAAGACTTCCTCTGGCCAGGTTGATAACAGCAGTGTGTGGCAAGACTTCCTCTGGCCAGTTGATAACAGCAGGGTGTGGCAAGACTTCCTCTGGCCAGGTTGATAATAGCAGTGTGTGGCAAGACTTCCTCTGGCCCAGGTTGATAACAGCAGGGTGTGGCAAGACTTCCTCTGGCCAGGTTGATAATAGCAGTGTGTGGCAAGACTTCCTCTGGCCAGGTTGATAACAGCAATGTGTGGCAAGACTTCCTCTGGCCGGGTTGATAACAGCAGGGTTGGCAAGACTTCCTCTGGCCAGGTTGATAACAGCAGGGTGTGGCAAGACTTCCTCTGGCCAGGTTGATAACAGCAGGGTGTGGCAAGACTTCCTCTGGCCAGGTTGATAACAGCAGGGTGTGGCAAGACTTCCTCTGGCCAGGTTGATAACAGCAGGGTGTGGCAAGACTTCCTCTGGCCAGGTTGATAACAGCAGGGTGTGGCAAGACTTCCTCTGGCCAGGTTGATAACAGCAGGTGTGGCAAGACTTCCTCTGGCCAGGTTGATAACAGCAGGGTGTGGCAAGACTTCCTCTGGCCAGGTTGATAACAGCAGTGTGTGGCAAGGCTTCCTCTGGCCAGGTTGATAATAGCAGTGTGTGGCAAGACTTCCTCTGGCCAGGTTGATAACAGCAGTGTGTGGCAAGACTTCCTCTGGCCAGGTTGATAATAGCAGTGTGTGGCAAGACTTCCTCTGGCCAGGTTGATAATAGCAGTGTGTGGCAAGACTTCCTCTGGCCAGGTTGATAACAGCAGTGTGTGCAAGACTTCCTCTGGCCAGGTTGATAACAGCAGGGTGTGGCAAGACTTCCTCTGGCCAGGTTGATAACAGCAGGGTGTGGCAAGACTTCCTCTGGCCAGGTTGATAACAGCAGTGTGTGGCAAGACTTCCTCTGGCCAGGTTGATAATAGCAGTGTGTGGCAAGACTTCCTCTGGCCAGGTTGATAATAGCAGTGTGTGGCAAGACTTCCTCTGGCCAGGTTGATAACAGCAGGGTGTGGCAAGACTTCCTCTGGCCAGGTTGATAACAGCAGTGTGTGGCAAGACTTCCTCTGGCCAGGTTGATAATAGCAGTGTGTGGCAAGACTTCCTCTGGCCAGGTTGATAACAGCAGTGTGTGGCAAGACTTCCTCTGGCCAGGTTGATAACAGCAGGGTGTGGCAAGACTTCCTCTGGCCAGGTTGATAACAGCAGGGTGTGGCAAGACTTCCTCTGGCCAGGTTGATAACAGCAGTGTGTGGCAAGACTTCCTCTGACCAGGTTGATAA